TAGTCATGTGCAGTAATCCTGCTTTCACTCCTCATCCCCCCTCCCCCTGTCTTCTGGACTCTTTTCTCCCCTCTCCTTTACCCCTGGCTCTTTCTACTGCATGATTCCTTCTTACACTGCTGTCTTTCAACCACACCCCTGATCTTAAAAGTGGTCTCAGATTCCGCAAGATTTTCAGTTCATTATCCTATGAACCAGAAATACCGACAAAACGTTTTTAGCCTGAAAAATTAATAACTTTCCCCCATTTATTCTGACTTTCACGTATAACCCATAGGTATTATTTCATGCCCTATGAGTCTTTAAAACCCGAAAGTTATTTTCGACGATGAACCACCCATCAACGCGTTGCCCTCATGATTAAAACTGCTAGACCTACAAGGTAAAGTACAGCAGTACATTAGTAACATTTTGCCGGGTCCGAGATACTGAACGATCAGAGATAATAATATTATATTAATCTCATAAAAGTCAAAAGTATCTCTTTTGGGAGCCTTTGCCGCCTTAGGACGCTACAATGACTCTCGGCGATCCTGTTGACAGCAACAACAGCTACGTGGAAGGCAACAACAGTGAGAAAATAACTGATTACGGCCTAAATCCCAGTCAGTTTGTAAAAATTATTTTATCGTAGTGACTTACCTACGTTCACTGGGCCCTGAATGTAGTTTGCTATTTACGAATTATCTTGCTCACTTCACCCCTTACCATCTTCCCTTTTGCTTCTTCTTTTTTTCAGCCCCTCCCTCTCCTCTTCCCACCTTGGCCTTCTTCCATTCTCCCTTGTTCCTCGTAACGGCTTTTATTTTCAAATTGTAGAGCGTTGCCGGGTTCGCACATGGGAAGAGAATCGAAGTCGTGTTCCGCGAGCTGAGCAATCGAGGCCTTATCAACCCCTGCCATTTTGCTGTGTCTACCTTCGCCCTCCATAAACTCCGTTGCATTTTGACCGCTGCTGCATTATTTTTCACGCGAGTAGGCCTATTAGATTTCTTTGCTGTTTCATCATTTTCGCTGAACGACTGAAGTGTTTCAGTCACGCCTCTGTGCCAATGGTGGATGATTCAGGGCGCCGTGAACGTAGCTTGCGTAGTGCTATAGTAGTGAAAAGTAGAATTTAGAACTGAGCATTCATCAGTGATTGGACAAGAAAAGATTACGAAAGTGACTGCAGTCAGGAGTAAGGCGTAAAGAGATGTTATGTCACTAAATCAATTGCTGTCCATCTCGCCTCTTTTTAATAAGTCACCTGCTCCTGTCCAGTTACTGATATTGGAGACGACAGACAAAACTTGACTTATATATATAACTGTTTGGACTGGTACTCCTGTTACTGTACCTCAACAATCTATACTTTCATTCATAATATAACAAACTACTCAATTGTTTTTATGAAAGTTGATGAAACACGTTAACTTCTACTAGTTCTTTATCATCATGTGCTCTCTGTGAGCCACTGCTCAACAGCAGCAATAACAGTAACTCAACCACCTGCCTTACCTTCCTCTCTATTCGTTCATTTTATCTGTTTTTCTGTGTGAGCGGTCGAGGGTACCACTGGCAGAGGACTAACTTTTAACTTTCCTTACATCTTGTTTATAATACATCATACTGTCTACTGTCTTGCGCTTTCACAGCCCTAAATTAACGTTTTGGGGTCTGTATGCATCTCTCAATGAAACAGTCTGTCTGTCTTTCTAACTATAGTCTTCCCTCCTTTAAACAAAGCAGAAAATCAACCAACAAGAGTAATCAATCAATCGGTCAATTACATGATATATTATGTTTCTATCCCAGGCATCCGGAGATTCAGCTGACATTCCAGATGACCTTTTCCGTGACCTTGATCAGGGTCATGCTTATGTTCAAGTGAATGCCAAGAGGAAAGGCCGAGCTGTTTTCAGAGGAAATGTACGTCTTTCTTTTCTTTTTTCTTTTTTTTTCTTTGTTGTAGTTTTTTTCATTGTTGCGCAATGTAGATGATTTGTATGGAGAAGTGCTTGGTCTTATGATGTTCTTATGTCATGTAATGGAAGAGATATGATAAATCTTTATTATCCAAGCACTGGCCTATATATGATATATTGGTTTGTTGTTTCACCACTCTCTCACCCACGCACCCACCCACACACACTCACACACACCAACACACACATACACACACATTAGAAACACACACACACACACACACACACACACACACTAGAAGCGCACACACACACACATACACACACACACACACATACACAAACACACACATAATCACAAAGACGCACACACAAGTACATGTACATGTGTGCATGGCCATGCCCATACGCACATAGATTCTTGCTTTTTTATACCATGATTTCCAATGTCACTTTTGTTGTCCTGTCGGTGTAGGGAGCCTTACCAAAGGGTACGCTGCTATTTCAAGTTATCTTGAACTAAAGAAGACTATATCTGTTGTACATAGTTGTGTCAACAGTCTGCCAGTATTTGAGAAGCAGAATTTTATCCCTCATCATAATGATAATATTTATATTGCTCATTTTTATATCTGCGAGAGCCTCACAGTGCATCGTAATGAAAAAGAAATAACAGATATGTCAAACACATGCACATTTGAGAAAGAGTAATAACCTCTGCAAGAAAATTATAGTTTGTATGAATTTACTTGCACATTGATAAAAATCCACTATTACAATAAGCAGGTAAGTTGACATAAAAAGTCAGATAAGTACATGCATAAATAAACTATTTGATATAAAAAGTATCATTGTAATTGTTAACAATTCCTAATATAAAAAAAAAAATTATTTAAATTGGTTGCCTTTATTTTCAGGTCACTTTACGGAACACGTGTTGGCGTTTCTCCAATGACATGGACTCCCAGTGGTCACGTGACGACGAACAGGTCGACGTCAGCTCCGAAGAGACGGGTGATGTTAAAACCTGCAATTTTGAGGGTGTGATCTACGAGGAAGGAAGCTCTTGGCTTCCTGATGTCAATGCAAGCTGTACTACGTGCAGTTGTGCGGTGAGCTTTTACTTTTGTTGGACTTAAAAACTTTGAGACCTTTTGCTTCAATTCCCAATTTTCACAGTAGGACACAGGGTTTTTTAAGTAAAAAAAAATTAATTAACTTACACAAAAAACTTATTTCTTTCATTTGTATTCCTTATCTAAGTAAACCAGGGAAAGTAAAGCAGTATACCCAAAGATATAATAAGATGATTTATGTTAGAAATTTAAAGCTGGATGGCTGAATCGGAGACATAATGAAAGAGACAGATGGTATCTGATATTAATAGACTGAAAAATAGAGGGGTTAGGGAGAGATACAGATATAGATATATGGAGGGAGAGTGAGAAAATAAATATGATGAGTGGAGATGGATTGGAAAATGGAGAGAAAAAGACAGCTATTGTGAAAGATGGACAAAGAGTGAGAGAAAAACATGAACAAACAGAGAAAGAAAGAGAGAGAGAGGGAGAGAGTTGGAGAAAGAGAGGAAGAGAGCAAGACAGACAGAAAGAGAAAGAAAAAGAAAGAAACAGAGTGAACATGATTATGAAAATTGACTGTTCTCATCCCCAGAAAGGCAACACGTTATGTCACCCGATGATGTGTCCACCTCTGTCCTGTGAAGACCCTGTGCACCGACCCGGAGAATGTTGCCCCTCTTGTCCAAGTACGTGTATATTTGTTTTTTATTAAATATTTGTTAAATGGTGTAAAACTAGCTCATTGGTAGGGCTTGTGGCTGTTTCAGTTTTGTTTTATCAGTCATAAATATTTCTTAATAAAATTATATAATTATATATTGTTCACAGGTTAAAAGTATGAAAAAGCAAGGCAGCAAATCTTCAGAAAAGCATCTAATTAAAAAGCATTTACTTGTTGACTTTAACACTTAAATTGAACAAGACCAATTTGTATGGATGTCTTTCAGTGCAACTTGTAGAATTGTTGGTGTCTTTTTTCCTACAACAGCAGTGTATTGATACATCAGTTTTAGTGTTGCACATTGTTCAGGTAGATTTATATGGCTCCACTGATTTTTTTCGTTAAGGGAATCTAGATACCCATTCATGTATTTGGAAATGTTATTCCTGGCTATTTTCTGTGTGAATTCTTGCTTTTGAAATTTAAAGATATGTATTAATGGATTATGAACCCCATTACTCCTGTTGAGTAGCTGAAATCTGTCTTTTTTAATGGTTATGACGTATTGAAGGTTTTTGTAAGGACTGACTCTAGGGCTATATGCTTTTACCTATGGGGCAAAAAGACACCTACATTGAAAAAAGAAAAAATGAAAGAATCTAATTTAATCTATTTTTTAAAAAGGTTATATTCATGACACCCAACAGACTCACACAAAGTAGATGCTATGTATAGAAGGAAACATGTAACATGAAAAAACACCCACTAAGTTACATATGACCAAGTATCAT